TCAATTCTTTACAAAACCAAACCTCAGGACTTATTGTGATGAAGTTGTACGATTTTCTGTCCTTTGTTACTGTATGTACATCAGTGTTACTTTGTTGCAAGTTGTAACCATGGTAAGGTTCATTTCAGACAAATTTATGTGAAAACTACCTCTGTACCAACAAACCGATCAAATATCCTGAGCAGTGAACCAAACAACAGACTATCGACTCCTTTTTGTTCATCCTTCTCAAAAGACTGATCTCGCGAACACGTACGTCAACGACAAAAAAACCGAAAAAATTGAGACTTTCGGCAAATTCAGAGGGTTGGTTTCTGGCGATCATCATGCAACTGTCAACCTCAAATAAACCATATGCGCCGAAATCGGCGAAATCATCAAAATATCTTAATAGAAAGGAAGCTTGGTATGAATAGTGCACAAGAATAACAGTAGGTTTGACACTTTAACAACACTAACGTAACGAATTCAAAGTGGTTCGCAAACCTTTAGGGAGCATTGATCCTGAAAAGCGTGAAATTTGATGTTATCAATTTGCGTCCCAAGAGCTCCAACCGCCAGCATTCGATAGAATCTCTTCCTTCCAAAACTTCAGGGACTTTTAACCTACAATTTGGACACACAAAACAGAAATAGTCGTTACAAAATAGAAATAGTCATTACACAGATATTTCAAATGACTTCGAATTCAAAGTGGATTTCGAAAGCTACCGATGGTGATGTTTGAAGTCCAACGCAATATTCTATCACACCTATGTGTTGCCGCCGCATGTTCATGCAAGAAGAGCTATGAACTGAGTAATGGATGTTTCCTTTACAAAATCTAGCTTACCCTGACATCTAAAAGTTAAATACAGTGCTACTTGTAGATGCCAACTACAGCCACACACCGTTAGGATATCTGTTAAAATGTGTTGTTCTGACACAATCACGTGTCTCCCTCGTCTCCCTCCTGTTTAGACGACGAAACAACAGTATTCGGTCAGCGGTTTTATGTTCTCATCTCTTGCAAATATTATCATACCATTATTTTCAGTTATTATTCTTTTATCAGTTGGACCCCGATAGTTCGAACTCGGATAATTCGAAGTCCCCGCTAATTCGAAGTAAAATTCATTTCCCTTGCTTTTGCCCCACTTTTCTCAGTCATTCTACCTCGGATAATTCAAAGTCCCCGCTAATTCGAAGTAATTTCTGTTCCCTTAGGTCGGATTTTACCCCGATAATTCGAAGTTAAGTTACCAGCTGGATGAAAAAGAACAGACGCTGTCGGAAATTAGAATATATATTTATGTAATAACAGTTTCGAACATTTCACAGCTCGTTAATCCCTTAATAATTGTGTAAAACAGTTCTCTTTGCATTAATCCCTTTACTGTATGTGCGGTGCTTTATAAAAGTTATTAATATGTCGATGTGATGAAAATCCATGTGCCTAAAGAGTTGACGAAAAATCCAATTTTAGTCTTTCAGCTTTGTGAACTCTCTTTCAGGAATACTGACGTATTTCTTCTCTCCTTCAAACAAAAGTTTGCATGACTCTTGCATCCCTTCACCGTCGCCAAGATTAACAGGCATGCCTGTCACAATAACAGTGCATGAATTTCTACACTCTTGTCTTAGCGAATCGTCCACTCTTTCCCTTCTTCAGATGTCCAACAATGGTTTCTTGATCTCGCATCACACATAAGGCATATTTGTCCACCGGGTTATCGGGCTCTCTTCTGGTTGAAAGTGTTTCAATCACTGTTGGTTTCCAGATTTCCTGGTAGTCGTTATATCCCTTTATGTAGGAGTTAATCTGAAGCAAAGCAACATTCCTTGGGCAAACCATTATTTAAGCAGAGCTTGATTCAGTAAATTCAAAGCCGGGATCTAGCAGTTGAGTGCATGCGTCTAAGGACAAGGACGCGATATGAGTAAACAATACACGCTAAATCACACTTTTAGCGGAAGTGGATCAGGGTTTGATATTTTGTATAACGAGTCATTCGTATTTCACCGGAATTTCAAGCCACATGCACGTGACGCAATTGTCGTGTCTTGGTTGGATAATCACCATATGAATAATTAATAAGTTCAACAACTTGAAGTCAATCAATTTTATCTACTGTTAGGGGGCTCAGTAAAGTCATCATGAATTGGGCACTCCCTGTTTCTTCAAAAGATATCACAAGACAAGAAAATTAATCTCGCAACAAGATTTTGTTTCACTTAAGTATGCCTAATATGTGTTCTCTAAGTGCTGCACCAGGTTGATGTGTCATTACAGAAACACGGATATACAGGATAGATTCGGTTACAAGGAATTTATTCCAGTATTACGAGATGTACGAGAGCAGACAAATGAGCTGAGATATTTCTTAATTACATTTTCGTCAATCATGACGCCTAGGTACTTTATATATTGTTTGCGTTCCAGCGAATAAAAGATCCCGTCAATAAAGCTTCTTTTTAAGCCGATCTCAATTTTTTTTATTGCAGATTTTATGATTATGAAATAAATTTCATTCATGTCAATAGGTATGAGTCTTTCCAAGTGTAAAAAGATGTCTCCAATCTGTCTTTGGGTAAAGATCAAAAGAGTGTTCATGCCCTATGTAAAATGTTTTTTTTTTCTTTTTAATGTTTACATCTAAAAATGATAAATTAGTGAGCAGCACTGCATAAACTGATTAAATAGTAAAAAACTGTTTCGTCTAATATTATCAGAGCTCGTCTGGCAGTTTTTACAAGTAGCATAGATAAGCTTCCTAATTAATGTTTCTTTTTTCTTAAGGCAACAGCAACGCTGATTATACATGTAACCCATTGTGTCTCAAAAGTGTTCTTATCACGAGAGCGCCCGTCTTGTTAAGCTGTGCTGAGCCAATGCTAGGAAGATATGTCTATATTGTAGCAAAAGAGTACTTCAAACTATGCGACGTACAGGTCTTTCTGAATGGTAAATTCTACGAAAGTTTTGCAATTGTAGTTGAATGCATTGATGTTCTCTTATCAATTTACATCTACAATAGTCTATTATTATTACTGATCTCCAGCTTTTGCGACGGATACGAACATAAAGTACCTTGCTGGTTTCGATCCGCACGACAAGGGGATGCTGAAAAAAGTAAAATATTACTTTGAAGATCTTTCACCAGGCGACTACGCTCAGATCGTTTTGTCGTATAGCAGATTAAGTGTTAAAAGGACAAACCTTGTAAACGATCTTTCGCCTAAACAGAAAGCCTCACTTTTAACACTGCAGTACTGATTCCTGTACAGCGGAATGAAGACAGGAGTAAGGATGAATGTGGATCACGTCAAGGCGAACTTGAACAAAAGTACATCAATGGAGCTCTCATGATGGTTCAAGACAGTGGTGTGGTCACCATCAAAGCTCTGTACACAAGTAAGCAAATAATTGCATCTTCCTTATTGGCTGCTGATCCCGATGATGAGATAAAAATTTTGTTCTTCAGTAGTAAATATCACCCTAAAGGATGTTTCCCAGTAAGAACCGCTCTGATATGTAACTTTGCGTTTGTTGGTTTGAGGCATCAAGAGAGTACCGAGAAGATTATTGCAAAGGTTTTATTTTCAGATACACAGTACTTATAGTGACACCTTTACGAATAATCGCTCTGTTATCCCTTCCCGGCCATTGAAAACCTGCTTTCTATTTGGTGGCGTTATTCGAGGGAGGACGGGGGTTGCTCTGCCGGGGAACACTGAACATTGGGTGGTTGCTTTGGGAGGAGTTTTCATTAATATCACTAGATCTACCGTCCTAATTCAATCAACTCAGATAGCATGGCTAACTGTGTTCCAAATCTTCTGATGTGTAATGTTTCAATAGCTTCGTTAAACAAGGAGAGAAAACATACGTTCCGCTGTAGTATAAGTGATGTGCGCATCAAAGGTAACTATGGGTAGATATAAGTCAATAAATGTGGCAAATAACCAACTGGTTTTCCTTTCTTTTTTGAATTATCATGTCTTAGTGAACAACCTGACCCTGGTGCATCGATTATGTGACTCCGGAATGCGCACGCATGCGAAACACAGTCGAACTTGGCCTGAGTGAGCGTCTCTCTTTTCGCCCTCTGTGGGTGACTAATTTTCCTTCTGACTGAAGAACTTTGCGACTGCTCAATATTTTTTCCCTGAATGTTTTTCCACATATCCACTGTCTTAACCTAAATTGTGATACAAATACATGGTCAGCTTGTTGATTGTTGACATTATATACTCTGTTTTCATTGCTACTGGGCTTCCATATCATGGAACACAGTATTGGCAGGCAAACGAGTCAGTAAGATATTAAAAATTTCATTTATTCTTTACAGGTGACATTTGTCAAATGCCAAACAAATGCGGCGACTTGTATGAGTCAAAGTGTGACACGAAATTCATAAGCCCACTGTTTCCTCCTGGCTCTTACTACTGCAAGTGCAATCCTGGTTATGCTTCATCGAGTTCTACAACACTTCCCATCGCTAACTATGTAGCACCTGGAGAGAAATGTATTAACGGTAGACAAAAGAGGTGAATAGAGAATAAGAATAATCAGTATCACCATCAGTTCAGTTTGGGAAAAACCTAGACCAAGGTAATCAATAGAGCCAGTCGGAGTGGAGGACGACTTCATCATTAGCCAATAGAACTCGAGTTATAAAAGGCAAACTGCTTGAAACGGGGGAAACACGAATTTACAGAAAGGATTGATAGAGGGGATCAGTCATAGATAATTTTCGACACGTTTTGAAAAATATTTTTATTGCATTACCAGATAATTGAATTTGCTTTCTCTTCTCATCAGGACGGCCAGAGATATGGCATAGCAAACAAAATCTTGTCTTACTGAAAAAAGCGATTGCGTCTTCAACTGACAAAGGGTCGGCTAAGTTTGTGGTGGATGGCGATCCTGGGACTTGTTTCAGGTTCCACACGTGGAAAAAACCTCGGCTGATTTTGTATCTCGGTGATTTCCAACCTGTGTCTTTAGTTCGAATTCACTCGGCCGAAAAGAGTCACGGTACCCGCATAAAAGACGTGGGCGTTTTCGCAGGTATGAAAAAGTCTGGGCTCGTGATATTTTTGAATAGCAAAACATTCTGATAATACAGTGGAAGCTCTAGTAAAGGACATCCCGGCGCAAGACACAAAGATGATATCAGTAAAATAAGTTTCTTAAGCAGCCAACAGAAATGTTAGCATTAGATGATCTTTAACAGGAACATGCCCAGCTGACTGACCGAGAGACGAGTTACCAATGTAGCTCTGACCTGTATGTGTTTGTAAATTCTGTCAAGATTACTACTGAAGCCCCAGTACTGCCATTATGTGAAGTTGAAGTGTACGCCTACACATATGGTAAGAACCACAGTTTAAACCTCTTTTATTCCATTAAAAGCCTCGTTACTTTTACATTTTAATATAAGACTTCATGGATAGTAAAGTGATATAATTATGTATTATCAAAAACTGGATCATTGGATAATGCAATTCAAGACTTTTTATTGGCTTAGCCATTATGGTATAGGAGCCAATATCCCATAATCTACAAATATGGTAAGCGTACGCGTCTGCTTAAAATTAAAAGGGAGTTAAAAAATTTGTCTAATATAAAGATTTGTCTAATATCTTGGGGGCGTACGCGCCTCGTTGGCTATCTATCATCTCATATCCAACGCGCGCTCGTGGAATAATTGTTAATTACTGGCCACCTTATTGTGATACAAAATGAGTTTACAGAGATTTGCATGTTACAACATGACAGGAAAGCCCAAAGAAACCATAGGGCTTATGCAGCGTGGGCTTTCCATGATAAATAACAATGAGTAAACTAGATATCCTGTCCTAAAGACCAGCACGAAGTTTGTAAATTTCTTTTTTTTTTTTTTATCAAAAAAGACTTTTTAGTCTTTACGTAT